TTCAGTCTGGATCCAGAACACCTGAGAAGAGATGATGCCAACCCCTCAGAGGACCTCAGATGATGCCAACCCTGAAACAACATACAGAACTACCACATTCTGCTATAAGTTTGATTGCATCATATAATAATTGCTGATAATAGTGTTCATCGTCCATTTGATTACGCCTTTAATTGATTTCTCCGTACATTTCTGCCATATGTACATTAACTGACAGTCACCACTGATAAGCTACTAGAAGTGCCCTTCGAACTGAACAAGTTCACTCCCTTCGGATTGCAATTCCCCCTTAAGATGCCAGAATAGCCTGTGAAGTCCACTTCGCAGTCCACTTACGATTGAATGGAACGCACCTCAAGTGTGCACAAATATGTGTGTTAATGCCAAAGTTTATTTTCACTTTTAAAAAAGTGCGTTCTATATAGTATGAATTTGGGTAGTATGTATACCTACTGTTTTTCGAATACTATGAATTTGGACATACTACTTGCCTCACATACTGTTTTCCGCATACTATATAGTAGGGAAGTATACGCAGGGACTGTCTTTAATCTTGTTTTTGTTGAAAGTAGTTTGTATTCTATGTCCAGATGTTCAGGTATGCGTAAGGTATTTAACTAAAGCTAACACTAGCGATAATAACTTGCATTAATGATGACATATCGCAATAATAATATCGCAATATCATAATAATCATATTGCTACTTAAATGTTTATGCTGTATAAACGCCATTTCCCAGTCAAGTCCGAACTAACTAATACAGGACTGTATGGAAAATGCAATTTCAAACAAACATAGTCTGACAAGTCTGTGATAATATTTAAATATATATAAAATGAAAAACTTAATAAATGTAAGTAATGGTAACTGTAAATACTCTGAAATGCATGTAGGGAATATACCATGGTATTAAATAAACACTTTAAATACCTTCGCTTTATTTTTTACTTAAATACTGTATTAAATGAAAATAACGTTTTTAAATTTAATGTAGAAATAAATGGTTCATAATTCAAATTATGAAATCCCCTTTCATGAGAAGTGGCTGTATGTTAAAAACAAAACCTCAGTGAGAAAAAGTAAATAATGAAGTTAAGGGGCTGACCATTAGAGCGAGTGAAGGTGTTACAGGAGAAAGAATTCTTCTCTTTGGATAAGGTCTCGGTCATTAGAGCTTGCTTCTTCGCTGCAAATGTTATACCATTGACATTTCCAGCAAAATGAGTCTTTTATTCCTCTGTAATGACCTCCTAAAGGTTAATTATCCTGTTAAATCTCAAATCCTCCCCTTTACTGTCCTGAATCAACTATCTTTTTTGTAACAAGTCTTTGTCGACAGCTCTCTGCAAACCTTTGGATATTTTTCAGATATAATATATAAGTTACTGTCCAATCAGATGAGAAGCAAAGACAGTTGAGAAGCATATCGCTTCTAAACACTGTGGTACTAAAATTGTATTTTTCACTTTGTCTAGAGAAAAGATGCACTGGTATATTTTTGTTTGCTCGTGTTATCACATCGATGCAAAGATTTTATTGAACTGGATTTTCAGTGGCCATAAAAGCATTGTCTCGACCTTAACAGGATATTACATTTATACAAAAATGGTTTTGTAAGTGTGTGTGCACTAGATTTAATGTAACTTCGCTGAGTACATTCAGCATGTATAACCAGTCACGGATGCTATAAAGTGTTTATTGAAAACTTTTATCAATGGAGAGGGTTGGAGCTAACCATTAGTGTGACCAAAAGCAAACACAAGACATTTGCCGCATTTGCCAAAGCAACCGTGTCATTTTAGCCTGCATCTACAAGTCTTTGAGCTCTTTTATCATGTCTCGTGTTTCATAGGACTTGCACCCGAGGGCTTCGCATCACAAGTGCAATGCTGTACCAGGTGCGCTACCAAGCAAGTTTACTCCATCAGACATATGAAGCTGGTTATGCAAACATCACAATGTATTAGTGTATAAATCATGCACTATGTTAAAAGTGTTTGAGGTCATAACATATTGTGCAAGGAACCTCACAAGGAACCTGGACCTGTGACTGATACAGATGGGCATTCATCTGACAATCTCTGTAAAATGATTAAATACAGTGCATTAGCCTATAATAATGAATAGTCCCGCTGGACAAGCACACTGAAAAGTGAGACCACACTGGCGATAAAGAGCAGCAGGTTAATTACCATATCTCTAAGGCAAAACAGATAGTAAACGAGATGAGTGCAGAGAGGATGCCCTCATATGAATGTTTCATAAGGATGTTGACATCTCTCGTAAATAAAAAGTGAATTGCTTGACAGTGATACCACATGCATTTACTCCGTTGATCAATATTACAGCATAGAGCCCTAAACAAAGACCCATCACCAGTTGCACTTGCACACCACACAAACATATGCACTGGCTGTGGATATTAATAATTAAAATGGTCATTAAATTGGTGATTGAAAAGTAGATAATGGAATAGGAGAGCAGGAAAAGAAAAATAGGTACAAAAGCAGTCACTGGGGTGATACCTTTTCAAAAGATAGACCTTTGTACCTCAAGCATCCATATTGGTACCTTAAAGGTACATATTAGTATCTAATGTGTACATATTAGTACTGCTCCAGTGACAGCTTTTGTACCATTTTTTCTGAGAGCGTGGGTTATATTTCTATTTATTTAGATTTATCTGGCACATCACACATTTTCTGAATTTTATATTTATTGATGGCATATCACATTTTGTTTGTGAAGACGTGATCTTTCTAAATGTTTACATTACTTGCAGGTGTATCATATTTACTGCACATGTATTTATGATCCAAGGGTGTTTATTTGTGCTTTGCTTTCCTCATAATCATCAAAGATTAGACGAAATTGTTGTTTGCAAAAATGTATTCATACAAATCTTACAACACAGTTTTTTGTTTTGTTTTGTTTTGTTTCTTACATATATAATGGTGCCCTTGTGTGGCTCCCATGTGTTATTGTACTAACGATCAGCACAAGACAGAGATTTATCTTCATGTTTAAGTAAGGCTTTGGGCACTATCAGTCTCTGCACACAAAATGAATTTCAAGGCTGAGATTGTTTAATAAATGATACAGCACACTATGCATAGAGAAGTTAAATCGAATAACCAGAAAGCCAGGTGGCATTTGAACAAGGTATGTTATGTGAGAAATAGGAGATGTGTGAGCAGGTGATTGCAGCATTTGGAGGGCCACTAATGTGCCATCTGAAATTGGTGGCCATTTTAAAGATGAAGCAAAGGCACCCAAGCCGCTAGCTGCCTCCTGTGTCACAAAGCCTGCAGGAGAATGCAGAATTAAACACAGATTGATTTCACATGATCGCCCTTTTACACGCAAACACATTATAATATGCATATGCAAACATGTACATATCACTAACAAGCTTAAGCATATATAACACCATCAAAAACTGTGATGTAAGTTGGAGGTTTGCTTTTAACAGTTGGTTTTACCTCAAAACATATTGCCTTTTATTTCATCTTTCGGAATATTATTTTGTTTTGCACGCATAAAGGAATTATTACAGAATACATCTATATACGTCATACCCAACTCATCTAACAATGACCTGCTGATACTTATAACCACATAGATGTGACAGAAAAATTTAAGATGCAGAGACACACGTCTCCATTGATTAACAGCTTTATGGTCATAGACAAAGAACAAACATTGACACTGATGTGAGAAGCGTGCAATATGAGAAAGATAGAAAATTGTGAAAAAAGAACAAAGAAAGAAACATTTATAAGTCTGAACCACTGTAATCAAGTCTAATACACACGCATTCATATATGAACTTAAGTTTATTTTTTGGTGAGATTTCAAAGGGGAGCAATTGCATGTTAAAAAAGAGTAATCTGTGTGAATCTCAGCGTTTGAAGATGCAGATTTAATTCACATTTATAGGGACAATAAAGGCCTGTTCCGTTCACACTAATAACGATAACTATAAAAACACAATAGGAATGAGCTGTAGGTTAGTCGTCTGCCGCTTTAAATGCTCGAGCTCGCCAAAATCAGGTGGATTCTGATTGGCTGTCAATGTTTTTATCATTCATCAGCTGAAAAAAA